ATTTTACACCTCTTGACCTTTGACCTTTGACCTTTGACCCCCCAGCTTCGACATCCCAACTCGTTTTCGGATTACCCCCCCACGTCCCGAATATCGTGACCGTACGTCGAGCGGTTAAGATTTGTGCCCAACTGTTGACGGACGGACGGACGGACGATCATGCGATTCTACAAGCTGCATCTGACTATGTCAGATGAGCTAAAAATACTAGTGACGCTTTCTCCTAGCAATGTTGTAAACACTAACGAGAAGTTTAGCTTTCGAAGTAAAATGTGTCATCAGATGGTCTCATATGACAAGAACGAACAGCGTAGATAGAACTATAGATATGCTATAGGCTGCATATTGATGAAATCGTTCATATTTGTACCATTACTATTGCCGCAGGTGAAGCAATGTAATTCAACAAGTATGTAATTGTTGTATACGTGAATTAATATAAATTAATAGTAAATAAGTATAACATAATGTGTTTCTTGATATTATGATTGTAAACACATACACTAATTTTTGTGCACAGATAAGAAAGCTACAAAACAATGTTGTCAGGAAAAATAGTTTTCATTAACATTGAAATTTGTGCATTCAGCACTCACACCTATAAAACTGCACGGGGCAATAATATATAAAAATTTCTGTGTGTAAGAAAAACAATCTGAGTATAATAAAATACTCAGTATACCTATAATCAAGTACACTTTGTTGAGTAGTTAACCATGTACTGGTGCTCATATCACCCTGTGCTCATTCTAGCAGATAACCAAAAATATCTACATTCTTTAAAAGGAAACTCACAGCAGTTACTCAACTTCATGGTTAATACTAATTATTCCAATTGACTAAAATTAGTTAAATCTATTTATCATCGACCAATCACACATCATATTACAATTCACGTATAGTTCACTCTCTGACTTCAATTTATAGTTGCAGTGAAGATGCATGAAAATAGGGCATATGTGCAACAATTAGGCATTAAGTTTATCACGGTCCAACTTTCACTGGGTAATGGTAAAACCGGGAGTCAACTTACAATTAACAGCACTCTTTCTATTAACATCTCAATTATTCATACACAAGTTCCATTCAAGTTATATTACGGTTACATCTTTTTTAGTTGCATTCGACATAGATTATGGTTACATCATCTTTATAAATGAATTATTGTACAATTGTTTTTTTCAACATTAGAAAATTCCACAGCTGGGACTTAGAAATATGGTTACAATCATGTGTTGCCAAGATCAAACCTATATTCTAATCTTCACGGTGTTGCTGTGTAACTTTGTTACGAGATTAGTTTTTGCGTTAAGTCGTAGCGACGACGGTAGGCCAGTCCCCGCGCGAACATAGCAAGTTAAACAAGAGAACGTGCGCGTCTAGACGTCCGCTTCGTCCTGCTGCGCCGTCACGAATTTCCTATACTGTTCGGCGTCCATCAGGTCGTTGAGCTCCTCGGGTTTCGAGAGCTTCATCTTGATGAGCCAGCCCTCTCCGTAGCAGTCGGTGTTGATGAGCGCGGGTTTGTCCTCTACGGCCGGGTTCGTCTCCGTGATGGACCCAGACACGGGGCAGTACAGCTCGCTCGCCGCCTTCACACTCTCTAGCGCGCCAAAATCCTCGTCCTTCTCAAAGTCGGCGTCGACGTCCGGCATCTGCGCGTACACGATGTCGCCGAGGGCGTCCTGCGCATAGTCGGTGACGCCGATCTTTCCGACGTCGCCGTCCATCGAGACCCACTCGTGCTTCTCCGTATAGCTGAGGCCGTCGATGACCTTTGTGTCGCCCTTGCTGGAGAAGCACCGTGCCAGAGAGAGCGGCGGCGGCACCACGCGCGCGCGGTGCCTCATCAGTGCGGTGCTGCCGCTCACCACCAGTCGCGACACGTTTCGTGCGAACATGATTGTGCTTGGCTAAGGTGTGGTTTGGGAAAGATCTGAGGGTAGAAAACACAGTTAATTCGCATTACGTACATGTGCACATTTCGCAGAATGAAAGCTATAAAATCAGAAAATGAAATTCCCTGAATCTGAAATCTATAGGATATTCTATTGCATGACGGAAATTCTTTGACGCACAATCTCATGAAACCCAACCAACCCGCTGGCAGCCACTGTGCAAAAACCTAGTACAAAACAGAGATACGTACATTAACCGGTTACGTACTATTTTACAAGTTTATGCACAGTGACGTGTGTACCACAAGATCGACGATGTAGTTACTAGAGGCATTTTCAACGGTGTTTACTATAGTCTACTGCCTAGCAACGGCCAAGTACTCATATCATGTACTTGGCCCGGCCATGTACTACTACTACTAGTACTAGTAGTAGTACTACTTCACCTACTTCTACTACGTCCAGTGAAGTGCCATGCTCATGCTGTGTGTGGACCGCGGATTGGTGGGTCAAACTCAAACCTTGGCCGAGGGTAGACCAATAAATTGTGCCCTAAAAATTGTTATATTCTGATGTTATTTTAGGTGAGTCCTAAAATAACATCAGAATATAAAATTTTTTAGGGCACAATTTATTGGTCTAGGCTGAGAGCGGCATCACATGGAAAACGGTATTGCCAGTTCAGGAGCAACCGTTTAGTACGGACATTCAATTGTGCAGCAATAATAATTGCAAACAGAGTAGGGCCTAACGGATGACAGAATAAGAAATGCTACTTACCTGAAGTGTGGTAATATT